TTATGGGAACGTCGTAAGACATTCAGCGTTTAGACGAAAAACCCTACACATCCTCAGGGTTAATAATTCTGAAATAACACGTAGAATATAATAGCTAGCTGGGTCTAAAATGGCTATAAAACAATGCTGCCTATGAATTTCTTTCTCTTGAAAAAGTCAGTGTCGTCATCGAAGGCACAACCAATATTTGATGTCGTGCAGTCAGATGAAATTGCATTTTTTTGTATGGGACGTTTCCCATTTAAAATAAGAAATTCTTCCGATTTTAAATGGGATTTAAATGCAACTGCAATTTTTCTGATGATATTCAAAATTAATCCACTTTCCTAATTTTCATTTTTGCTCATTTATCCATAGCATTCGATGTATGACGCGTAAGACAGGTCTTGTTCCACACATGTATTCCAATGTCAGTTCATCTGCTCTTTTAATAACTTATTATTCGTATGGAATTGCAGGAAGTGGGATACTAGTCTCAGAAAGTTTGTCCAAGGAACCCGTTGTTCTGCTGATAGAAAAACTATCATAGGTAGGTCCACGTCATCCACCGCATCGGTCAGCAAAGAACGTTTTCCAGCCAAAAGCAGATGGGCTTGTTCAAACAGTGTCATACTTCTCTGATAACATTTCCGATTCTGATCCCGTTGCTGAAATGGCAGATGATTAGGCGATTCATGGTTGAAAGTATTACTGGTGCCATCAGATATGAACCAGCAAACTGTCTGCAACTTCTCTTACCGTTTCTGTTGGGGGCAGCCATCCAACTTGCTGAGCAATCGCATCAATGAGTCCGGTCCATTGTTATTGAGACAGCTGAAACGTAAAAGAGCATATAATGAGGCATAACACGGAGCCGAAAAATGTCAGCGGTGCATTACTCTTGAAAATCGTTCCTAAAATCTGAACATGATGAGAATAGCGGGTTATGAAAATGAATTTATGATGATGATAAAGGTGTTCTTCGTAGGATGAACTTCCTTAGATTAATACAGCTCTGCTTCATATAGCTATTATATTTCTGTATTCTCCTGTTTTTTATTTTCTAATTTCAATTTATGATAAGCTATCTTTACTTTCTTAGTCAAACAGGTAAACTAAGGCTGTATAAGATGCACAGTCTATATTTTCATTCCTTAAAGAAATCGTGAAACATGTTTAGAGTTTTCCAAGCGCAAAAATTTGATCGCACATTAACATAACTCGCAAAAATGAATGAAACCGATATGTAGACGTAGCATAACTTAATGAAAAAGCCATATCGTATATCCATAATAAAATTTTGCAAGAACTAAGCTGGCGATCTTGCATGCACAAAAATGCTTTAACTGAAAACGGTTTACAGCATAACTATTTTCAGAAGTACAGTTGATCTCGAGATGCCAGCCCTGATCAATACACAGTCGGCAAAGCTAATCAGGACCCACTTGAGTGAATGCGAAGTTCGATTTTGAGTTGGCGGCTATTGGTCCATCGTCCATTGTCTTCTCGTGTACCATGGACAAGTGTCACATGGGATCCGGTCAGCCACTGACGGTTGAAAGTCTTGGCCAACTGCGTTACTGCGCGACTGCTTCCTCGGAAATCAACGTTGACGACGATGACGAAGTCAGAGATGAGTCAAACGATAATGAGAGATCCGGAGAATCGGCGGAACCGAATTACGTAATAAGTGCGACTGCAGTGGCAACAACCCGGCGACAAACGAGCGATGCGGTGGCGGCGGCAGCAGTGGCAACAAATAGAGTAGCTGACAGAGTTCTTTCAGACATCAGTGAGGAAGGTTCAGAGGTGTCAGAGAACTTGTCGATGAACGCCGCGATGAGGGACCGCTGTGTGTCGTCTTCGGGAAGCGACTATTCGACTTTGAAGAACTCGGAGTCCATCTCCATGACCACTTCAGCCGAGGTTAGTATTCTTTTGTTCGCATCACTCATGTTATCTGCCTGGCTTTCGTGTCAATTTCGTTTGCTCGCTACCTCCGCTCGGTAAGCGGACGCTCTAATCAACAGCTTGTTTTCTACCTGAGCTCTGTTTTTGTTCGCACAGTTAGATTTGATCTACGTATAGATCTGATGGTCTAGCAGTTTTTGTAATCACTGTCTTGAACAAAATAGTGGAAGAACCGTAGTTCTTGGGATGATGGAAGGAAACGAAAGGAAAGGTTTACTTGTTTTTGCGGATTAATGCAGTTGTGAAATTCAATTTTCTAAACGCCTGTTTCGAACAATGATTTACCTTAAAGTGATAGATGGATTTGTTAACCACCGTTTAAATTTTTCTCATTCACAGACAATTTCAAGATTCATAGCGAATTTTCACGGTTAGAGTAATGGCTAGGATGAATAAACCCCGCCGAGACATGAAAACCTATCGTTCCTCTCTGACATAGTCATCAAGGTTGGCTTCAAAGATGGCATAGCGAAAAGTCCGCAAATTTCACCTACCATATTTCAGCACTCGGAAAGACCTCCTGTATCGGCATGGTTGGCGTAAGGGCCGTTGCGTACAAAGTCTGCTCTGAATTTAGAAGTACCAAATTCGATTACTGGGATGACAATCTTTGTCATAATTTGTCGAATTTCCTTTAGCATGGAATTTACAACACGTATTGCTTCAGACCGCCATTATTTGGTCGGTAGAGCGTCGGAAACTTCCTTCAGAAATTGAGTACCACTGTTTCGGAAGGAAATCGATCACTATGGACTATTATTGCTACATCACTGCTATCGATTCTGCCTTCAAAGTAAGGCATTGCTAGCTTATGGAATGGAAGTGGAGATCAGCGCCCCACAAAGAACTTCATAAAAAGAAGGGTCCCAGAAATGGCCTCACCGTGAAAGTGCAAGAAAGACCAACATTCAAACAGTGAAAAACTTTCCTGTTGAAAACCACGTGTCAGATGGACTCGAAAATAAAATTCCAACTTCACTAACAGTTAGTTAAACCAAATAATATCTGTGTAGAATGGGCCGCTCGTGTCTCTTGCCATTAAGGAGAATCTGTTAAGTAAAATTCTGTGTCTTCTGCCCAAACCGAATCCAGTGCTCCTGTTGTGTAGTCGTCTCTTCGTTTTCGACTGATCAGCATGTTTACGAAGAAAAAGGCATCGTTTGCTAGAATTCGATTTGAATAACATTAACTAACAGGATGGAAAGCGGTAAACATGCTTTTGAACGCTGTGGAAAGAATCTGAGCGCATAAATTGCGCGTCTTTTGCTCCGTGTAGGAGATTCACTGTAATAAATAGCAACATAGAACAATTGAAAGATAGTGACAGCTTGAGCTCTTAATAATCCTAAGAGAAGATTCTGGTCCAGAGAGAAGTTACATCAGTGTCCGCAACTGAACGATAATACCTTCACATAAATTACTGCAGTTTTGACACTTCTTTTCAGCTAGAAATTAATTCTCGTAGGCAGGCTGTCGTTTAATCATCCAGCAATTGCAACTGTAACGTAGTTATCGTTGTTACACTCCGCTGGTTTAACGCGATAAGCATTTTCATTCTTTCATCCACATCATCTTCCGTCCATTTATCAGTGTTATCTCAGAATGTTCTTTCTAAATTGCGGAGTCAGCAGCTTCAGGAATTCTTTTCAGCAATTTTGCTGCTCAGCCAATCAGAAAAGCAAAACAAACTAGACGGCAAAGTGCAACAGTGCAATATATAATATAAATCTGCCGTTTGTTACAAATTTACTATGATACTGCCCTTAGTCACCTGCTGTGGGACTCTACAAACAATTCCCATTTCACGAGTCGCTTCTCTGGCATTCTGATCAGATATCCATATTCTAGCGGATTGGAATAGCCAGTGGCATTCTGCATGGACTAGGCCGAACCGTTGTTACTAAAGCAGAACTGAGACTGAAGATTAAGCTCTTTTTTCAAGTCGATCGCCATCCTCATGCTTACCTACGGCCAGGAGTTATAGACGATGACTGAAAAACATCTATAGAAGTACAAGCAGCTGAAAAGTGCCTTCTGAGATGAATCGATGTCCGTACGTGTCTCGACATGGTTGAGAGTACAGAAATCCCAAAGAGCCTTGGTGTAGGGTCGCTGCTTCTTCAGATTGAAAAGTCACAGCTGCGATGGCTTGAACACGTGTTGTGAATGCCTCCAGAAAGGAATGCAGACCAACTATTACTTACCCTACCATAGGCAAATGGTTCAGGGGACTGCCGAGATTAACCTGGTGCAAGTGTGTCAAAGGAGTCTGCTCTAGACCATGGTTGTGTTCTGCCGAAACTTGGGTATTGGCACAGGATCAGGAACGTTCGAAGTAACGTCAGACGGTTTTGCCTCCGCGACCGGAAAGGAGAAGCTGTCATTGAAGATGAATAAATGAAAACAATATTTAATATTTAAAATTCTGTCTGACAAGCAAAACTGACCACAGACGATCATCGTTAGGCCGGTAAGAATCACGTTTACAGCAATTCAAATTGTCTTCATTTGTCATCCGTTTCATCTCTAACTCGATAGATCTTAACTACGATGGTCTGGACATATGAATAGATTGTTATTAGATTATTACGAGTTATAACCTAATTGATAAAGCACATAACAGGCAAGAGAGAAACATGTAGAGGATTGAATGATTCTGGAGTATTGAGTAACTTGACGTTGTCCGCACTGTGAAATAAAACAGTTGAAGAATTAGCATGACCTCTGAGAACTTTTTCTGAATCTGATGCATTTGCGTGCTTCCAATGGTTACCATAAAATCAAGAGAGTAATATCAAACATTGATATTTTAAGTAAGATTTGTAAAGAAACTGACTCTCTATGATATAAGCAAGCATATCAGCTGACGCAAGTGGTAGAACCAGCTTAAAGCTTAAAGTGAAATGAATTTTATGATCTGAAAATGAGCAAAATTCCTCTTTCTGGCACATATTACTGCGAACTGAATGGTGTCAGTAAAATTGACTGGTCTCTAGCGTTCTTTGTTCCATTCTACAACCCAATGGAAACGATGAATAATGAAGGTCGAGATTTTACACGAGTTTAACCATTGTCTGATTTGATTCTCGTGTAACTTCAGCTTTATATGCCAGCATCCGTGTTGTTCTTCCTGGACTTTCATGACATTGCTGTCAATCATCATTTTCTTCTAACCTTCAATCGACCTTGATCACTGCATCGCGTTCAACGTCAGTGTAATTCAAGTGGACAACGCACAGCAAACGCAGTTTTGGTTGCAATCGAACCTTTATGACAGTAGCTTGAAGCAGCATTTGCTAGTTTTCTGTCCAGAAGTAGACCATTGTTTTGTGGCCGAAGCCTTGACAACTGTATATTGAAAGCCTTAAACATCAGCCTTTGTCTTGCGACCAAAACCACTGGATGTGAAACTTAGAAACTGTAGTAGTTCGTGGCGAAGAATAAAAATAATGTATCGAAATCATTGCAAATAACTCTGGATAAAACCTATGTCACTTCTCAGGATTTACAGGGCTAACTTGCATTAACTTTTTTCGTCGGTCGGTCTAAAAAAGTTTTCAAGCAGGCCATGGCCCTACTACGTTACGGTACGTGACTTGTTCATGAATGAGACTCTGCATCACGTTGTCGGGCTTGTTCGAACACTAAGTAAAATGTCTTTACCTGAAGATCATATATTCGTACAGTAAGGAATACGGGAAAATTTGGGGTTACTTGCAAAATGCAAGTTTTCGATACCGGCATCTGGTACTTCTCTCGTTTTGTATGCAAATACGACAGATACGGGATGGACTGAAACCGGAATCTGTTCAAAACATCCCCTAGGCCATTAAAAACGAAAGTTCTGCACGATTCACTTAGCATAAATGTGAATAGCGACAGATTGTTTTTAATCTTACCGACAGTGCAAAACCTAGCAATGTTTTAGTAAGAAAGAATTTCAGCATATAAGAAGGAGTAGATTTTAGAACTTATGTCGTTGCTGTATATAGGCAAACAGAATAAATGAAAGTTTATATCCGTTAAGTATCGGTCTTTGGTACACTTCTGTGATTTGTAATGATTCATGGAGCTTAGAATACGGCACTTCGCTCCGTCATGATACTCTTGTCCAGTAATATCGCATTTCTAAAGGTGACATGTAAAACTGGAAAACTAGATTTTCCTCCATTTCATATGAAATATCAACGATTTTTGATTCGTATCAGTTGCGTTGCAAATAACAGGAGATAACGTACCGAATCCACGCCATTCAGCGAGTATCTTATTGAAGATTTAAAAATTAATGCAGCCGGCCATATGCGAAATATCTACAAAAGCATCAGACCTCTGAAAATCCTCTGCAGCAACAGGTGGGTCGATTATTAAATTGAACAAATAACAAGACTGCATCATGACAGCGGATAATTTCCCGAATTTGTCAAATGTGTCTGAATTTCAAAACGCGGTTCATTGTCTCATCGATTTGCACCATTGGACATTCAAATTGTTCCTTTACTTATTAGGATTTTTCGATTCGGGAGCCGGTTTCGGTAGGTTGAGGCAGTTGCGCTGCCCATCACTCGTCAAAGATTTCCTTCCGGAATCAGATCCTCAAAAAGTTTGCCAGATCTCGGATTGCGCTGGGCTGAATGAAGGCTGGGGAAGTTTTGGCAGTATTTCATCATGGTTGCCATCCAAAATGAACCTCCAAATAAAAACTCGCCAAACCCTGCAAAAGAGATTCAACTACCGCGACAACCTCAACATTACTTAATGACTCATCGGTAAATCACATGACGCAACTGATAGACGGATTCGGATTGTCATCAGGATCTTCTTGGCCAGCCATCATTCAAGAACGCCATCGATAGACGCATTTATCGGCGTGTCTGCATTTCTGAAAAGGAGAAGATCAAGGCGGAAAACACTGGAATATAAAAGACCTGAAGACTAGTCGAACTTGTTGTGCAATAGAATAACGGTGATTAACCAGAAAGGCCTTCGAGAACCGGTCTCAGACAGGCAACGATGACAGTGTACAACGTTTACTTGGTTGTGATATAATATGGTCTTGTACGGTAATTCTGCTTCTACAGAGAAGCTCACGGATTGTACCATTCGGCTAACAGAAACAAACAAAGTTTTGAGGTCACTCTTGCCCGGAAGAGAATAGAGTTATTCTTTGCGTTGTTCTGCCACTCAAGCCTCAATTATCGAAGTCAACGTTATTACAATTCATCTGCAATCTTTGCGACTTCCTCAGAAGAACAGTGTAAATGCCGTTCAAAAACACCGATATGACAGAGGTATGGTAGAAGCAGATTTTTCAGGAAAAAGGAAGCCTTTTTTGGGCCCAAATATTAGACAGGTTTTCAAATGCACTCAAGGCTAAGCAGATATTTAACTCTGGCTGAATAACGCCGTCGCTGTAAATGATAGAGTCGAGATACTTAAGCTGCTCAAACTCCTGAAGGCTTTCGCCTCCCGTGTTCATTCGTAGATTAGAAGTCCTGGATGAGTTGCTCATAACTTCTGACTTCCGGGAGTTACAAAAAAGGCCTACGTTCGCAGCTGTGTTCGACACTAAAGTTGCCAGGTGGCAAAGCTTCTTTCGCGTAGTGCCCTCCAGGACAATATCGCTTACAAACTCCAGGTCAGAGAGATACGTTGAACTGCTCCTTCCTTTCAGGATAAGACTTTCCCCTTTACTAGGGACACAACTTTTGCAGTGAAGAAAGTCGGAAAAAAACGTTGAATAGCAAATGCGAAAGCACTTCTCCCTGAGGACCTGCTCAGTTAACAGCTTTCCTTAAATTTTTACAGCGAAGGTGGTCTTGCATCCATCTGTTCAAAAGTAGAAACGAAGTGCTCGTATATGCCATAGCATTTCAAAATTTTCCACATGGTTGGACGATTTAGTGAATCAAATGCAGTCGTAAAATCGAGGAAACTGGCAAACCAAGGCAACTGGAATCGTCGGCACTGCCCAGTTCTCCTACGCAGAGTGGACATTTAGTCAAGGAGGGAGTATTCCAACCGAAAGCCTGCTTGATTTGGGCGGTCTGCCATCAATTGCTTGCCTCATCCTTTTCAGGATAGTCCGAGAGAACAGTTTTTTATCTGTTGTTGATAGTAGTGTCATGTCATGATAATTGGAACTCTCGGACACCTGACCCACTATAAATATTAAATATCGGGGCAATCATTCCAAGCTAAACGTGGGAAACGTTTGTAAGTCCACAGATGAAACATGGCAAGCAGCTTTTCTACCATTCACGTTCCTCCACACTTAATTAACTCCAGAAGAATTCCATTCGCCCTGAGGACATTCTTCAACTTGAGATGTTGCAGGGATTTTAGATTTCTAGTTTTACATGTGGTTCTGTACTAACCTCTAGCGTAGGCAGAGAATTATTGCCCTGAAGTGACGAATTTGCAGGGCAGCCCTTGAGCAGCTGCTCGAAATGCCCAGCCCCTCTTTTGAGGCGATTCTTTGAACCAGCCAGTGGGGCATCCTTAGCGTTTTCGATAAGGACATGCGAAGTCCCCTGTCGCTCCCTTAAACACAGTTCGCCACTCACCCTTTCTGGCTACCATGCCAATCTTCGTGATTTCCCCTTCCAGTCGAAGTTTCTAACCCGTCTATAGCCCTGGTTGACTGCAAGAACGAGACGTGCTGCCTTCAAGAATGCAGTTGTTAGAGTACTCTTTCTTTGCCTGATTCCTTTGCATTCTAAGGGCAGTGGTCTTCTGTGTAACCCAGGGGACTTTGGCTATTATCTTCCTGGTCTTAATTATGTTTTTTTTAACATGGAAATGACGGCATCTTTGAAGTCTTTGTGAGTTTTATCGACGTTGCTACTTCTTGACTAGGCAATATAGGTTGAATTAAAATTACTCTCTATCTTTTGGCAGACTGACCATACAGCTTCCTCATATTTCAACATCTAGCGGCGGATGCGTTTTAACCAGACGGCGTGGGTTCGATACGACAAATTCTAAACGAAGTTCTGCTCTCACCAACGGTGTTCAGACCCAACCCAGGTAGAAGCTAACGCGAGATTCGAGGAGAGAGCTGCCGCATTTGCAGTTGATGCGGACTTGGTCCAGCTGGTTGGTTAAGCTCCCATAATTGAGGTTCCTGGTAGTCTAGTGATTACGTCTATCAGGACAAAGGGCTGTGCCGACGATTGAGCTATTTCTGTTGCAAATGGTTAATAGATGCTTGCCATTGTCATTCACTCTGTTAATACCGTGACGCATTGTCTCAGACTCTTTTATCATTGAAACGACCGCCATGTTTACCCTAGAGGTCAAGAGAATATCCACACCAGCACGACCTAATTTA